TATGGTAGATGACTAAATCGTAAAAAATGGCATAGTAAAAATATCTTTTATAGAATTTGACGAAAATTTTTTAATGAAGTTTTTACTTGAGGGGAAATGAGGACTTGATTCGATTTAGCTATGACTTGTGAAGGTCTGTTTTTTTACCTCTGTTTTGTCTTGTTTTTAAATTATCTTATCTTTTTAAAACTGGAAAGGAGACTCCATTTGGGAAACTAATGAAAGCAGAAAAAAACTTGAAGGTATTAACGTGTCTTTAAAAATTATAAGATCTTATAGGAATTTAGCTTGCCTAGTTCAGAGTTACTGTGAATGGTGTTGATATTAGCATTCCCTCATACATGCATACATCAATATATATATATATATATATATATATTCTGTGTTCTTTTATGTTATTCTAACAATCCAGTAGTGAATGGGGGTTTATAGGTCAATATGGGAACCATTGTTAAAGGCGTGGTACTGTCACTGTTCATTTCGTCCCTGCTGTTTTCTGTGGTATTTGCATCCGATGATGGGCTGGTTAGAATTGGGCTGAAAAAGATGAAATTGGATCCAAACAACCGGCTTGCTGGCCAGCTTGACTCCAAGGATCGAGAGGCTCTTAGAGCATCTATGGCTAAAAAGTATCGCTTCCATAATGATCTTGGATCAGAGGAAACTGATATTGTTGCACTGAAGAACTATATGGATGCTCAGTACTATGGTGAGATTGGTATTGGAACTCCACCGCAAAAGTTCACTGTGGTATTTGACACAGGAAGCTCAAATCTGTGGGTACCATCAGCGAAGTGCTATTTCTCGGTGAGGCCCTACATTTATGATTACTATGAAATTATTGGAAATATAACTTCTGACCTTGATAATTGTGAAAGCAAATGTGGTTTAGGGAACATGATTCATGCTACATTTTGGTGTAGGTTGCGTGCTACTTTCATTCCAAGTACAAGTCAGGGGACTCGAGTACTTATAAGAAGAATGGTATGTCTTACGCTCTTTTTACTTCTCATAATTGTTTCTGCAACTTGTTTCTTATTGATATTCGTGACATCAGAACATTTTAAGTTAATTTTGCATAGTAATATGTGAAATTTTGATTTTTTTTCCAAAAACAATCATGTCCGTCTCTAATACTATTGGATTAGTTAGTGATAGGCATCGATCATGGTTGTTCATGCAGTGTGTTGTTTCTGTATTTGGTCCATGTTGTGGTAGGACAAACTTAAATAGAAAGATAGTTTTCTCCAACATATAATCTGATGCATGCTTCTGTGGCCTAATATTAACAAAATTACAAGTTTTGAGTTCTTTCTGTAATAGTTTTCTTATAGCTTACTTGGCATATTGCATTACTATGTGTATTTATCCCATGGATGCTAAAATAATCTAGAAGTATTATCATATTCGATGCAGGGAAATCTGCTTCTATTCAATATGGTACTGGAGCTATTTCTGGTTTCTTTAGTAATGACAACGTTCAAGTTGGCCATTTGGTTGTGAAAGATCAGGTAAGAGGAGCTAATCTTCTTATCACGTTTGATCTAGTTGTTTGGAAGTTTAAATTAGGTAACTGGTGATCTATTTTCATTATCAGGATTTTATAGAAGCTACTAAGGAGCCAGGTGTTACATTTGTGGCGGCCAAATTTGATGGGATATTAGGACTTGGGTTTAAGGAGATTTCAGTTGGGGATGCTGTCCCAGTGTGGTATGCTTGAGTTTTAATTTTTGTTTCTATTTCTGGATGTGTATGAGCTTCTCACAAGCCACTTGTTTATCTTACAGGTACAACATGGTCAAACAAGGTCTTATCCAGGACCAGGTATTTTCATTTTGGCTTAACCGCAATATAGAGGGAGAAGTGGGCGGTGAAATTGTGTTTGGTGGGGTTGACCCAAACCACTACAAGGGCAAGCACACATACGTCCCTGTAACACAAAAAGGATATTGGCAGGTTGACCTTTCAAAAATTAAATTATTTCGTTCCACATAAATGCTTTCTACGTACACATGTATGTTTTATTCTTTCACATTTTGTGTAATCATCTTTTCCTTTTGATAGTTTGACATGGGCGATGTTCTTATTGGTGAAAAACCGACTGGTATGTTCCTTTTATTATCTGGTGTATTTTAAAATTGGGATCTTTAGCACTCTCTTTGAAGCAAAAACATGATTTTGGAATATATCTGTGTTTCTGACTTAGTTTTATGCTGTTCAGGATATTGTGCTGGCAGTTGTGCAGCAATTGCAGATTCTGGAACTTCCTTGCTGGCAGGTCCAACAGTAAGTCCTAATGCTTCCTTGTTGGATCTTCTGATAAGTATTTTGTTTATCTAGTTAATTTCTAACCTTTTCACCTTATCTTTGTGTGTTGTCAAATTTTAAAATATTTGAGCTATTCATTTATCGTGTTTTTTTGGCCAAGTCCTGTAGGTTTATGTTACTTGTTAACCTGGCTATTGATTGCAGTCCTGATTGTTTGTTTATCTTGATGCAGACTGTGATTACCATGATAAATCAAGCAATCGGAGCCGCTGGAGTGGCTAACCAGGAGTGCAAAGCAGTGGTTCAACAATATGGGCAAACTATCATCGATTTACTTGTGTCTGGGGTGAATGCTAGTTTTACTCTATTACATTTACCTATATAATTGCAAGTAGTTTGTATTCATTTGTTGTAACATCAGTTGCGACATGGTCTTGCTACACTATTTCTACCTAGTGATTGGTTTTCCGTATTTTTTCCGACAGGCACAACCCGTGAAAATCTGCTCCAAAATTGGATTGTGCGCTTTTGACGGTACTCATGGTGTTAGGTGAGGCTCGTTTTAATCTATTTGTCTTTGTTTGCATTAAATAATTCCTATCTTTCAGTTTTCTCCAATTTATTCAAAGATAGAATGACACTATTAAAGCGGTCAAGTAATGGTGCTCAAATGTGTTTGTATAGCATGGGAATCGAGAATGTCGCAGATGAGAGCAACGGCAAATCATCTGGAATTCTTCACGGCGCTACGTGCCCTGCTTGTGAAATGGCAGTTGTTTGGATGCAGAACCAACTGATGGATAATCAGACTCAAGACCGCATATTGAACTATGCCGATCAGGTGACATGTGATAGACTTGTATTCGATTTATAAATTTGTGATTACATTCTTCCCGGTGCCGATTCATCAATTCGATACTTCTGCAGCTCTGCGATCGGATGCCAAACCCAATGGGAGAATCTTCGGTTGACTGCAAAAATATTTCTTCCATGCCTCCTGTTTCCTTCACTATTGGTGGCAAAGTTTTTAAGCTTACCCCAGACGAGGTACTCTCTATCCTTAATTTTCTGTTTTCGAATTGTCCAACTGAAATCGCATTGTTCCGACGTTAACTTTTTCGGGGCTATGTAATCCAGTACATCCTGAAGGTGGGTGAAGGTTCTGAAGCTCAATGCATCAGCGGCTTTACTGCTTTGGATGTTCCTCCTCCTCGTGGACCACTCTGGTATTTAAGCTTTTCCTTAAGCAAGTTCCATGGACTTATGTTGCTCGGACCCGAAAATAATCTCGATTCGAAAATCATTACTCGTGTTTGATGCAGGATTTTGGGAGATGTCTTCATGGGTCGGTATCACACCGTCTTCGATTACGGTAAATCTAGAGTTGGCTTCGCAGAAGCTGCATAGGAGCTACAATGGGGAACCTGTGTTTTTTCTAAATGCCCGTAAAGTTTGTGTTTATGTATGTTTTAACTTTATAAAATTGTGAACAGCTGAAGAAATCACTTCTCTCAGCCTAGTACATTAAAAAGGGAGAGAAAAAGTCTTGCTTTGTTGGTTGTAAATATCGTTTTACGCTTAAAATTCAGTGTTCATATATGGGTAAATTACACTAATCATCATTGAATTTTATTCTCAGTTTTTTTAATTTACTCACTGAACTTTGACATTGCTCCTGTTTTGGTAACTGTCATTAAATAATTAATGACGTTATGATATGACACACGACATCAAAACTTCGTTCTTTAAAAACTAAATTTCTGTCAAAAACAAAACGATGTCGCCTTCATTTTCTTCTTCTTTTCTCTCTCTTCTTCTTTGTATTCCTTCCATTTTCACCACCATTTCTGTGAATATCACGACGAACAATAACTGAAGCATCTTTAAACGTTATTTCTTTTCTTTTGGAAAAAAATGTCATAATTAAGAGTGTTAAGCAAGCTTTTTTTCAGTAACAATGGAACTCCAACCCCGTTAAGCACAAAACAGAACAGTTTTTTCGATACACAAATTGTCCCCTACGCTTTGTTGCTGAATATTAAAAGTTATAAAATAGTGTATTGATTATAGAGTGTTATATTATTGAGTTATCCGATTATTAAAAGTTATAAAATAGTCACTCAATTATTCATAAGTTCCACACTTATAATTTTTGTTAAAAATTGATGATCATCTGAAGTAGACGTTAATCTACTGATTGTGATGTGATAAAATCATACTTTAATAATGTTTATTGCAACCAACAATGACGTTATATATGACATGTTATAATTGGATGCCAATAGTGTTTAGGGTAAAATGGGATGAAAATAATAGTTTAGAGATGAACTGCAACAAAAAATAATTTAGTGCAATTTTCAGGGGCTAAATTATTAATTAATCCTTCAATCATCCTACTTTTAGAGAGTTTCAACAGTAGAGGAAAAAACTTGTTAATCACTTATATATGGAGAAAAGTTAATAAAATCTCTAGCTGCTCTACCGGAGAAAAAAAAAAATCAACATTAAATGATGATCTTTAAACCCCTCTCCATTCCATACTTATTGAGAGGCTTTTCTCTTTTAGTCCACGCCCATACCCAAACCCTTTTCCTTTCCCTTGTTTCTTTTGGTGTTCCAAAACATCAGCCTTGTTAAACAAAGGTTTTCATACTTTGGGTCATTTTTTCTTTTTGTTGTTCTTCATTTCTGTATACATAAATCCCAGATTCCGATTGATTTTTGTGATTTTGTTGTCTTTCTTGTTTAGGGGACCATGTTGGCTGTTTCAAGACGAAGAGTTAGTTCTTCTTCTTCAGTCAGTTTTCATTACTTTCTCTCTTTGTTAAATCACTAATGTTTTCTGAATATTTATGCATACATACTTACATAAATAATACTTACTATTTTTGTTAAAATGTTGTGGTTCTTGGTTCAGGTATTAGGCCACTCATTTCGAAATGCTCGACCTTCACGATCTTACACTTCTTCAAAAGAGGTAAAGCTTCAGTGCAAGCACTGTTGTGATTTATTTCAAATTACCAAGGTTGAATCTTTTATGAGATCATTTCCATTTATGGCTGCCTCTTTATTTAATATATTTGTTCATGCTTCTCTATAGGCCTATGCTATGACTTTAGTTTCCAGAAAAGGGTCATCACATGATGCAGGGATTGTGGGTTGTTTAGGTAATTGGAAATTAAACAATATCCACCATTTTCCTTGTAAAAGAATCCATGCTCCTTTCATTTATCTGGGTTCATGTGTTTACAGGGTTTCAGTTGGCTCAAAGCCTCTAAGGTTTGTTTTCATGTCTCTTGTCTCTATTTGTATCTTGAAACAATTTCCATCCTTTGTTATGGCAGTTTAAGTTGAAAATTTGCTTCTTCTGCATAGATTTTAGAGTTACTAAGATGTTTTCTCCATGAAATATTAATAGTAAATACATCATACATGCATACATGAAGTAACATGTGATGAATTAATGAAATAAACAATGGTTATCCACTACCATATCAATTTTTGTACTTTTTTTTCTTCTAAAAGAATGTTATGTTTATGTTATTTTCAGTGAAGTTATTTAATTTGTTCAAAGATCTCCTCCAATATTTGTCCACACTAGGTCATTTTCTCCCGATACTGGTTACACATTCTCGTAAATCTTTCGTGACTTTATTTTCTTCTTTTTGAAATCCAGTTTATGTTCTGATCCTAAACTCAAATGCTTCTGCTTGGATATGAAGGTGAAGTTGTTGATGCTGTTGTCCCGTTCATGGGGGAATCCATCACCGATGGCACTCTTTCTAACTTTTGAAGCGTATGTTGTGCAAGTTCTTTTCATCATGAGATTATTATAGATGCATGTGAAAACAATAATACATCTTATATTTTGTGATTTGGGAACAGAACCTGGTGACCGTGTAGAAGTAGATGAGCCAATTGCACAAATAGAAACGGATAAGGTACTTATTAGCTAGGTGACATTCTTTCTAAGCATCCAAGTCTTTAGATTTGTCCATCACTCAGTTTTCATTAGCTGCAGATAATATTTTTCTTCCTATTCTGATTAAAGAAGATTTTTCCCCCTTGTATGATACAAATAGGTGACAATTGACGTGAGTAGTCCGGAAGCTGGTGTAATTGAATAGGTAAATATCTGATAGTTTATAAGCTTGTCTGTTTTCAGAGAAGTTAATACTTAATATGAATATAAACTAATGTTTCGATGATAGCTGTCATTTCAAAATCCGGTGACGTAACTCATGTTGCTCCATCAGAAGAAAAGTCTAGCCAGACGGTTTCTGAGCCTTCTCCTGTGAAAACAATGAAAATCAAGACAGAGAAGCCTAAAGAAGAAACTCCACCCGGCAAAGAAAAGCTTAAAGTACCTTCCCTGACTCCTTCCAAGCCTTCACTAAGGAACCTCAACTTCCTCCTAAAGAAAGGGAGAGAAGAGCAAGTATCACAGGACTTATAATTCTTCATACCATTCTTTTATTAACCTTTTTCTTTTGCTGTTAACTGTAACATGTAATTTCTGTGATTTCAGGTTCCTATGACTAGACTTAGAAAGCGTGTTGCAACACGGTTGAAGGACTCTCAAAACACTTTCGCCATGTTGACGACATTCAATGAAGTTGATATGTAATTTCCACCCCTTCTTAATGTAATGTTGTAGGATGTCAATTGTTACTCTTCTCTTTTGCTAACCTTTTTGTTCTTTTGGTCCTTGTGATTCCACAAGAGAGAGAATTTATGCTATTTGGATTAGATTAATCTTTTGGTCGTATTTTGAAATAGATATACACATCTTTTATTGGGATATTCCACTTTCATAAGTTTCTCATGTTATTTTAAGATGGTAATGACTTAGTTTTTGCTCATTTGCTCTCTACTTCGATATACGATTCCAGGACCAGTTTGATGAAGCTCCGTTCTGAATATAAGGATGCTTTTCTTGAGAAGCATGGAGTAAAGTTAGGACTTATGTCGGGATTTGTAAAGGTAAGATTCACCAAAAGAATGCTTAAATGTGTTTGTTTCCGTGTACATTATACAATCTTGATTCGAGTCGTCTTATCTCCTCCCAGGCTGCTGTTAGCGCGCTTCAGAATCAACCGATTGTCAATGCTGTAATTGATGGAGATGACATAATATATAGAGATTATATCGATATCAGTGTTGCTGTTGGTACCCCAAAGGTCCGGCGCAGTTTCTATCACTCCATATAAAGTGATTTAGTAATGTAGCTGTGATTTCTTTCTGCAGCAACATTCTTACATCCAGTTTTCTTGGATTTGCATGATCGTGTTACTTGTAGTTTACATGGACCTAAAAACGAGTATGAAGGATACAAAAAAACCTTTTGATATTCTCTGCCTGCACTCTGCACTACCTTTTTTTGTTTAAAATGTACAAAAGCCCTTAACTGTGCTTTGCTTTCTTGTTCTCCATCGATATCTGAAATTGGGCTGCTTTGTTTGACATGCCTCTCCAGGGTCTTGTAGTTCCAGTTATACGAATGCTGACAGAATGAACTTTGCCGAAATCGAGAAAGGGATAAACAACCTTGCTAAGAAGGCAAATGATGGGTCGTTATCAATTGATGAGATGGCCGGAGGCTCATTCAAGATATCCAATGGCGGTGTTTATGGAAGCCTCTTAAGTACTCCAATCATTAACCCTCCTCAGGTGAGATGCTTTGCAGCCAGTTTGCTCCTAACTCACAGTACTGTGAAACAAGTTCAACTCTGTGTTCTGGATGCATGTTTTACTGCACATACATGACGTTGTATTCGCAGTCATACATGCCAGATCCGACATGTTTCTTCTAAGTTCTTGTTTTTACTAACGTCGCATTAAAGACGTCGTGGAGGATCCACGGAGACTGCTGCTTGATATATGAGAATGCAAACAACAACAGTCTATTAAATAGCCTGGATATGGCAAAACATTTTCTTGGTGTAGAATAAATAGCAACTGAGATTTCCAGGGCTCCTATATTTGCATTTTCATCAAAATTTTCTAGTAACACTCGAAATATTAACCATTTTCAATGAAATTGGGTTAAGAGGTTTGTTCCGTATTGAAATTTTGTAGTATATGAATCCGAATTATTCGATGGACAAATGTGTCTTATGGTTGTAAAAAATAGCTCGGACTACAAACTTTTCTTAGTTTTTCTATCAGAAAAAAATATTATATATTTCATGGCCGATTCAACCCAGATCTCAGTGATCTCTCAACATGGGACCCCTATCTGAGACTTTAATCCCATATATTCGTTTCTAGACTCGGTTCCATTATGGACTACTTTAGATTAGGCCTTTTGGTATTGTAACTGAGTTAGAGTCGAATTTTAATATTGTTGAGCTTTACTTAAATTTAAACTCACTTTTAATTCGTTAAAAATTCGAATTAAATTTATTTGAATCGAATTTTTAATCGAATTAAATTCGAGTAACTTGGAGCCTTAGTAACTGCCTCATTAGAGGATCACACACCTTTAACCTCGAACAAAATCAGAAACATACATTAGATTCCTTGTAATGATAGCCGTTAGATGAAGTTAAGAGATGAATAGAACAAGACAAGGATTTGGGAAGTGGTGAAATAGCTCTAAAAGCCCTTTTAAGCACCACTCGCTGAGGATTTGGTATCCTCCACCCACTCAATTGCCACCAACCATTTTCTCAAATTTTTTCTTCTTTTTTTAATACCCAAAAATAATATTTTTATATATATTTTCTTTCACACATATAAAAGGCTGTCCTTTTTTTCGTTGATCTTTTGTACCAGAGTTGGCAGAGCCGCAGAGGAATGCTCATTTGTGCTCTCTGAAATTGCTCTCCTTTTGAAAAACGCAAAGAAGGTTTCTTTGTAAGCCTTTTTTTCAGTCTTTTTTAATGAGATCTTGATGATTGATAGCATTGGGTTTCTTTGCTTGATTTTGTTAAATACCCTTTCTCTGTTTCGATCATTTGCATCTCAAAACTGTGGTAAATGTTGGGATTCTCATTGTACATGGTCGGATTATTTGTTTTGAATGTCACTATTGGATGCTTCAAATGCTGATTTAGTGATATTAGATCGTGTATTGGGTTATAATCTATCAAGAAATCCATCTGATGTTTTAGTTTGTAATTTCTTGTTGGATTTGTAACATCGATTCAGTAGATTCTGTATTGTTTGTTGAACCCCTTTAGGCTCAATGCTGTTAAATCACTTTTCCCCTTTAAATTCGAATGTTCCGCTTCTGATAACGATTCCGTTTAGTATTGCCCAAGTAAATGCTGTTCTTAGTATCTACACTGTGGTCTTGTTTCTGAAAATGTACTCTTTCATCAGATTTTTCGGCTTTAGAAGATGAGGGGAAGTCTTTGGCAATTCGGGCAGTCGATTACTCGTCGTCTTGCTCAGGCAGACAAGAAGGTTGTGCCACGTCGGTACTTTTCTTCGGAGGCTGATCTGAAAAAGACTGTTCTTTACGATTTCCATGTTGATAATGGCGGGAAGATGGTCCCGTTCGCCGGATGGAGCATGCCCATTCAGTACAAGGATTCGATCATGGACTCGACAGTGAATTGCAGGCTGAATGGTGGACTCTTTGATGTCTCCCATATGTGTGGACTGAGCCTTAAGGGAAAGGACTGTGCTCCATTCCTTGAAAAGCTCGTTATTGCTGATGTAGCTGGCCTTACCCCAGGAACCGGAACTCTAACTGTATTTACAAATGAGAAGGGAGGGGCAATCGATGATTCCGTGATTACCAAAGTGAAAGATGATCATATATACCTGGTTGTGAATGCAGGCTGCAGGGATAAGGATCTGGCTCACATTGAAGAGCATATGAAGGCATTCAAGGCCAAAGGCGGGGATGTCTCGTGGCACATCCACGATGAGAGATCTCTTCTAGCTCTCCAGGTTAATCACTAGACCCTTCAGATTTTATGACTCCAGTCGTTTTGCTTCAAGCAATTTGCTGGTGATTGTCAAGTCAAACATGCATACTTTTCTTACTTTCTCGTGTTGTAGCAGTCCGAACAAATGTTGCAATGATTGTTTGTCGGTTAGCACGATTTGTTGGTTAATGAGACTGTAGCATTTGAACAATGTCGAAACATTTGGTTTTTTGTATTACAGGGACCTCTTGCTGCCCCGGTTCTTCAACATCTGACAAAGGATGATCTGAGTAAGCTATATTTCGGGGAATTCCGAATCTTGGATATCAATGGTGCAACATGTTATCTCACTCGGACAGGGTAATACTCGATTTTGTTTCTTCTTGTTATTCAAAGAGTAGTGCTTAGGAGGTCAAGTCTAAGTTAGTGTTGCTGTTTTTCGTTGTTTAAGGGTACTGTTTGGTTTTTTGCTTTTGATAGGGGTGCTGTCCTGGTTGTATCTTATGTAATTAAGTTGTTGAATGAAATTCTAGGGCACTCTTTTCCTCCTTCAAATGATTAAGGAGCTTTCTATCAAGCTCCATTAATTAAGAAGGGGGGTTTTTAATGAGGCCTTCAATTCTTATAAAAAAAAAAAAAAGAGTAGTGATTTGGTTGGCAAGTCGATGTTATCACTCGTTGGGGCGCTACGGAGTGTACTAGATAAAGTTGTCTATTTTCAATATACTTTCATATAACACCAGTTGAGGCCGGGTTAACATGGGCCATAGGGAAGAGAAGAAGAGCAGAAGGCGGATTCTTAGGAGCCGAGGTAATCCTGAAACAACTAGCAGAGGGTCCGTCGATCAGGCGAGTTGGCTTCATCTCCACTGGACCACCTCCACGATCCCACAGTGAAATCCAGGATGAGAAAGGGAACAACATCGGTGAAATCACCAGCGGAGGATGCAGTCCGTGCCTGAAGAAGAACATAGCAATGGGATATGTGAAATCCGGATTACACAAGGCGGGCACCAAAGCTAAGATCCTGGTAAGAGGAAAGGCCTATGATGGAGTTGTCACAAAAATGCCTTTTGTACCAACAAAATATTACAAGCCATCATCCTAAGATCAAAATTTACACTTTTAGTCCCTGGGATTTGATTTTCTCAGTTGTTTCCTGCTTCTGATTTGGTTTCCCCCCCCATTGAACTTTAACATCTGCAATCAAATACCAATATCTGGTTTTCTATTAACCGACATGACAGTACATGAACATTCTGTTGTTTAGTGTTTTATATTATGTTCAATTCCAGTAAGAGAATTCCGGGGGCCTAAAAGTGAAATTTGGAAAATTTTCATGGGATTTTGAATTTGGAATTTGGATGACGATTCCAAGAAACGTCGCTATATGTGGTTGCTTGTGACAAATGGAGTTCATGGTCTCTACGTACCTCTCTAAGCAATAAAATATTGGAATTAAGGACACCAAATTATACATATAAAAGTAAAATAAATAAAGGTCTAAATGTAGTTTTAGTCCCTTTATAAACTGTACACACACTCTGACCAGTTGCACAAACTTGAATCCTCTATGGAAAATAAAATTCCCTTTTATCACTAACACCATGCAATGAGTACAAACTGCATAGTTAAATAATAATTATAATAACAACAATAATACTAATAATAAAGATTAAATCTTAAATTCTATTATAGTCTAAGGACTAAAATATAATTAGACCTAAAATAAAAGAATATAAAAAAATTTCCTTCAAACAACTGAATATCTAGGAGCCATTCAAATAACTAGTGGCGTTAACCATTAGTTCATCACCAAGATTCTTCCTTGTACATTTCAAATCTTCTCATATCAACTCTTATCTGGAAGACGATTTCATCAAAAATCCTCCAAGGTAATATACTGATTTCTTTTATTAATAAATTTAGATTTTGATCATCTGTGTTCTCTCTTTGCTTTATATTTAACTTATCAAAGCTCATATAACAAAAGAAAGCACTAGTAATTCCACTCTCTTTGATGTTTATGAATAACAAAATCGATAGTTTTCGAGTTTAATCACCAAATTCTTGGATGGGTCTTTCTCAAAGTAATGGAATTTTCTCTTATTTTGCAATCATTTTTGTTTCTTCTTATTCGTTTCCTCTTTTGAAGGTTGTATAATCGTAGGATGGTTCCATGATGTTAGTGGTAAGTCCTCCGGGAAAAATCAACCAAACCCAGACATTTCTGGGCAGCTCCATCCTTCTTAGTAAGCTGCCTTGTGTTTCAAAGCCTGCAATTCACCATATCTTACCAGCGATTCACTATAACAATTTAGTTCATATTCATAACTCATTGCCTTCATGGAAAGATTCCAGCAAGCTTACAACCTATCTTGTATCGCATCGGGTTGCCCCGAAGAGATGGCTGGTTAGGATTATTGAACCTAAACTCTTTCATTTTTACATTGTTTTTTAGAAATAAAATGGAGAGTGTTTACAATTTACATGTTTTAACTATGATTTTAACTGCAGTGTCAATCACATGGTTCTGCTTCATCCGATGATGAGTATCGATCGTCGCGGAATATAGCGATCAGCTTGTTTAGGCGATACAGGAATGCCATCGAACGTGGAGGAGGTGACAACCTAAAAGTATATTCAATGATTTGCATGCTTGCTTGATCTGTTTTTTATTCGAATGAGTTGACCATGTATGTTAGCCTTCCTTCATGTGATACTGTTGGATTGATTTTGTATCTCAGGAGTTCATTAGTGCTGGGGTCAATGCATATGCATTGGGCTGCACTGATGAAGGATTGCGGAAAGAACTTATCGCCATGAAGGAATCCGGCATTGAAATCGAAGTAATGCATAGTTATGGCGGGAGCACCAGTCTGAAATCCAAGATTTGTGCAGAGGAAGTGAGTGATGATCTTACATATTTTAGCTTTTACATTTGTTCTAGAGATCCTTTAGTATACCAGCAATATCCTATAACTTAGATGCGCTTCATTCATTTTGCTTTGGCTCTTCATTTTTCATGAAGTATCGGTGTCTGGCATGGTGTCCGACACTTTTTAGATATGGGATTGAGATATAATCCGACCCATATTTTTGCTGAAGGAAAATTTGTTTTCTGACTATCCAGGTTAATGAGTGTATTTTATGGCGAGCATTATATTCATCACCATATTGTGTACACCACAACCAACTATAGTCCGATGGTCGTCTACACCGCCAGTGTCCGATGATGTCCTGCATCATTGGAAAGGCTTTTGCGCTCTCATAGCAAATGCATATTTTATAAGAGGAATGGCATGGTGAGATATACTTTTAGCAATGCTGGTTGGAAAAACCCTATCAGATATTAGTCTTTGATCTTTTCTTTGATTATCCTAGAATCTGCTGTGTTTATATGTTTTTAACAGTAAAAACTGAAAGATGGATTCTTGTTTTGCCAAAGGCTTCCGGTGAAAACTCTCCAGCTTGAGCAAATGGCGGTGATTGGACGTGCAGAGGAGCCTTCAGTTGTTGCTAGCCGAATGCGGTTAGTTTTTAGCACGCTCGAGGTGAGCGAATTGTTGCAGAGGTGGATCACATGACTATGAACTTTGAGCTCCCTATGGGCTTAAAGGATTCATGGTTGATCAATCTATGTTGATTGTCAATGATTACATCGTTAGATTTTGATTATCTGGTTTTAATGGCTGTTACAGGTGGTTAGTCCACAGTGGCCAAGAGCGTAACAAGTGATTCAACGATGACGAGATCCGATTTTCCAAGGATCATGTGTGGGAGCATCGGTTCCTTTGTATATTAATAATGTAGGAACATATACAACACACTGTTTCTGCAGAATTGCCTGTATAATCTTGTGTTTATTATGGGATTATATATTTGAATTTCTGAACTAATAATTGGTGTATTTTATTGTTGCAAAAGTAGTGAAAAGATGCAGGAGTAGACGAACATATGGAATTGGCAAAAGAAGAAAGGAAGTTGTTGTTGTATACCCAGAGGAGTTAGGGTTTAGCATTGTCATCCGTTGAGGGTTTAGCTCCACCGGTTCCAATGCCAAAACCAAATCCAATGCCCATTCCCATCCCCATTCCAAATCCCATGTTCACGCCTTTCTCGCCATCTGAACCTCCTACACCCATGCCTTCTCCATGTCCATATCCTTCTCCTCCTCCACCGCCTTCACCACTACCTCCTCCTCCTCCTCCAATGTCACCTGTGCCGAAACCTGCACCAAAACCACTACCATGACCTGAACCTCCACCACCACCACCTCCTCCTCCTCCCCTTCCGGTTGTACCAATGCCACCACCTGCACCGTAGCCATTACCATGGCCATATCCCCCATTAGAACCACCACCACCACCACCGCCTCCACCGCCACCGCCTCCAATGCCTGCTCCTGCACCAAAACCACTACCATGACCAAACCCTTCCCCAGAACTACCATAACCACTGCCACCTCCACCTCCTCCTCCACCACTTCCTCCTCCAGTTCCAACTCCACTACCGGCACCATATCCACTACCATGACCAAACCCTTCACCAGAATTACCATAACCATTTCCACCACCACCACCACCTCCTCCTCCTCCAATCCCAACTCCAATACCGGCACCATATCCACTACCATGACCATATCCTCCATTAGCCCCACCTCCACCCACCTTCTCCACCTCCTCCTCCACCACCGCCACCGCCACCAATACCCCCCACACCACCTCCAGCTCCAAAGCCTTCTCCATGACCAACACCAGCAGCAGCAGCAGTAGCATCACCTCCACCACCTCCACCTCCTCCTACTCCACCATTTCCATTGCCTCCTCCTGCACCGTACCCTTCCCCATGTCCAACACCATTACCTGAGGAACCACCACCAGCACTAGCACTACCACCTCCACCTCCTACTCCATCAATGCCATTGCCTCCTCCTGCACCAGCACCATACCCTTCCCCATGTCCAACACCATTACCTGAGGAACCACCACCTCCACCACCACCACCACCACCATCACCACCAAACTTACCACCTCGTCCAAAGAAGCTACCACAACTTCGCCAACTTCTATATGAGCAGTAATCATCATCACCACCACCATACCTCCAACCTCCGGGACCTCCATAACCACCCTCATGAACATCTCCTTCAACAACAACACCATTCAATGCAGCAACAACACATAGAAGAAGAACAGCTACGTACCAAAATTTATCAGAAATAGCAATGGCCGCCATTGTTTGATGAAACAGATTCTCAAGAACACCAAACTTGGCTTGGTTTTCATTCTCCCTCTCCATTGCCACATATTTATATAGCAGAGAGTAGACTGTGTTTCAAAGGGAAACATGCATGAAAATTCGCCATTGAAGTCGAGGAAAAAAATGTCCAAATTGTGTTAGGTTAAGTGTAAAGTCAACCGTAGCCGACAAATAATATTACATTATTACCATTATTGACAAAAATTATACATACATTTAGTATTATAATCTTCATATTAAGAAATAATAATGATGCTCAGTTCCAAGAAATAAAAATAAATAATAATAATGCTATTAATCAATCATCTATATAGATAGTGGATTAGGTAATTGTATCTTCTTGAAATTTCTGACAGAGAGAAGCGCAATATATACTTAGAAATTTAAATAAATAATTTTTTTTTGTTGATGCTAATTATCTATTTATTCTTATCCTCGAACAAAATGTCCATTAGTCTTACATCTAAATGTAGGGTATGGACACGAACTCAGTGACTTCTATGGTAAAAATGGAGATGTAATCTTTTTGTTTTCTTTCAAATTTTAAGGACATAGAGGTAATAATAACTTCACTCAACTAGAAAAAAATCGATTTTTTTTTGTTTTGAGTTATTTAATTATACTCAAATTAATGATTCAATTTATGAGTTTGAGTCGATTTTAAATTTTATCAATTCAAAAAATTGAAAATTTGAATTTGACTATTTTATGATACAATGCTTGATTTTCTTATTTCTTTAATTTTCTTTTTAATTTAAATATATTTTTGATCGAATTTAAATCGCATGCTCTTAAACTACTTTAGAATAACTATGCACCTTAAATTCCTCTCTTTTTTAAACAAACATCCTCTTTTTCTATGTAGTCCTTTAATTTTGTATAATTTTTTCTATTTTTTAAGTTTCTCATTAGTTTTAAGTCTAAATTTGAACCACATACTCTACTAATACTATATAATTTCTATTTAATTTTAATTCCTATTTTTTTAATTCTTTATTTAATCCATCAACTTTATATTTTAGTCAAGTTGGTCCTTCTATTGTAAGTTTTTAAAAATTCTTTGCTTTCATAAACTTGTTGACTCTTTTATACCGCCATCAATATTTTTCCCTAAAAAATATCTTCTTTAAAAATAATATTATAAATATATTTATAATTTTAAATTATATTTGATTTCTTAAATAACATTACAAAAATTACTTTCACATATAAAAAAGAATACAAAGAAATATTACTTTCACATATAAAAAATTGTTTAAATTAGAATCAATTTGTATAATGAATGATATCATGAATACTTACAATTAAATTTAAAATGAAACTCAGTCAACTCGATTCGACTTGAATTTCATAAACTCGACTCACTTGAAAAAATTCGAACAAAATTTAAATCACAAAATAGAACATGTCAACTCGACTAACTCGAAATTTTTTTATTCAACTCGATCGAATATTCACCCATTTGTATACACTTCATACGAAAAATTTCTATTATTAATATATACACGCTCACCCTAAAAAATATTTCTCAACTAGTCACTGCCCTTAAATCAACATAAATATAATCTTATTAGCATTGACATTTAAGTTGAAGAGGTAACGTAAAGATTTTAGAAACATTCAAGTTCGAGTCGCATTCTATATAAGTCATGCATGTGCCCTCTTCAACTTTATTATGATTTAAATTTCATCATAAGTGAATCTCGTCAAAAATTGATTTATACCTTGTAATAATTAATTTTAATTATAATTATCTGGATATTATTTTAAAATATATAAACAAATATGTGTGTCCAACAGCAACACTTAAAACCCATCAACCAACTCCAATATTGTTAAAGGTTTTCTGTATTATGCCATGTGATTGCAACATGGGATGCAGAATACAATTTAAGTAATGGAGATTATAAAACTGGGAAGTGGAATCCAGTGTTATCACTTGGAGAAACAAAAAAACAAACATGTTTTATATTTTGGGTACTATTATATAAATATATGCATAAGTTGCAGACAAGTTAATAGTGATAATTGAACTGATCAATTTGAATTATAAATATTGCAAATTGAGATAGTGGGGTGCCAAATGCCAGGGTTAGAAGAAATATATATGCCACGACTGCTGATGGCGTATCGATTAACTTCATGTTTGATGGGCCTATAGCTAATCGATTTACTATTTTATTGGAAAATTGCAATTATGATCACTCATGGCATTCATGATTTTCTTATAATTTTGTTTTTAGCCTTCGATTTAAGGGTCACGTAAATTTGATTTTGGGTTAAGTAATCCGTTTCAATGATTCATAAACTTGAATTTAACAAATATATTTTAATTTCATTTTAATTAGTTGAATAAGATCAGAAAATAACTTTGAAAAAAACTCTTTGAAAGTTTTATGAAGAAAAAATTTCTACAATGGCTAATGGCTTAATGATATATAAAGCAATAAAATTGGACAAATAATGGAGGTGGAATAATTAATTAGTAAAATAAGGTACCTTCAGATTTATTTTAGGATTTAGGCCATTTGTTACCGTATACGTAAAATTTGTCATGTAGTGGTAGCGAGTTCCATAAAATATATTAAAAAATAAAATTCGTCATATGAAATGGATCAAAATTGTATGGAACTCGTCACCTCCATGAGATAGGTTCCAAACTCGTCACCTCTACATGACGAGTTCCACGTACATTGTAACAAATGACCTAAATCCTAAAATAATCCTCAACCACCTTCATTTCTAAAAAAAAATTCTCACCTGTATTATTTTCCTAATTTTGCCGTAGAAAGCCCCAAAATTAATTCATCCTCACTCTCTTCTACATCTAATTGAAACCCCACCCGCCCGTGTGTACAAAAGCTTTGCTGATTAAAATTGATAAAAGAAATTAGTGTATAGTACATAAATGTTCCTCTAACTATAGGATGGTGTTTTGTTGAGTCCTTTGATTATTAAAAGTTATAAAAGAATCCTCCAACTATAGGACATTATTTTGTTGAGTCCCCCAATTATTCATATGCTCCAAACGCGTCCTTTTCCGTTAAAAAATTGATAAACGTCTGAGTTAAACGTTCACTTGTTGATTGAGATATAATAAAATCATATTTTAATGATGTCTACTGGCACCGTTGTTGCTTTCAAGTACTGACTCGATGACATAATGTTTCGAACACTGGCTCGTTGACATAATATAAACGAAGAGTCGCTACACAAAATACAGGTCAAACGATCCTAGGATCAGATTCTATCATATCTCAATCAACATGTTAACGTCCAGTTCATACGATCGGCGATTTTTAATGGAAAAGAATGAGTTTAGAACATATGAATAGTCGGACGAGCATTTAGTAACTTTTAATAGTCAGATGACTCAACAAAGGAGTGTCCTATAGTCGAGGTACCATTTTATAACTTTTAAAAATTGTGAGATTCAATAAAACGACACATTATAGTCAGGGGACCATTTGTGTACTTTACCCAGCAAATTGTTTAGATAAAAATGTTAATTAAAAGATTTAATTAGATGTAAAAGATTAAAAATATGTTTAATTAATATGGGCCAAATTTTTGGCTTACTTAATTTGACCCGGGTTTAGAAGGTTTTCATCTAACTCAAAATCCAATATAATATTTTAGGTTAAAATCCGTGCTTAACTCGATCTATATATGTAAATTCATTTTTATTAGGTAAATTATGGACATAATTGAAAAAAATAAAATAAAAGAGATATTAATGTAATTATCATTAAATATAAAAACATAATTATAATATTATGTTGGACTGAGCCAGGCTGAATTTTTCTACTATAATTCCAAACCTGACCCAACCACACTAAAAAAAATCTGATATGATCTAAATCTAAATTTTCAAAAAGAATCAATCTAACCGAATCAGATTAAATCTCATTGGATTCAGATGAAATGGTCATCCCAACTCTCAACAGCACAGCCCAACCTAGCCCAGCACCCTTAACTGGGACATAACAAGATAACCTAATCAGTTAATCCCAGGTGCTAAGATCTATAGTCTAATCAATTATCAATCGATTCAATATATGTTATTACCTTTTGCCCATCAATTCAATTCAATCAATGATGACTTTGGAATTTCAATTATGATCAACATAACCCAACATAGAAAAATAATGTGGCGTTTGGTTCGCTAGAATGTTTATGAGGGAATTAAAATTTTTGAAGGAATTGAAATATGTGGGAATTGGAATCCAATTCCATATTCTATTTGATTGGCAGGAAATTGAATTAGAATCTAATTTCATATTCTGTTTGGTTCGCATACATGTCAGATGAATTTGATTTCAATAATATAAAATGTCATAATTGTCCTTCTTATTTTTTTTTTGCTTTATTTTAGTTTATTTTACAACTTATATGTAGTAATATATTATAAAAAATTAAAAAATATTAAAATTTCATTTTATTGATTGATTATTCATTTTAATAAATTATAAAAATCATGCTAATAAACATTATAAGTTAAAATAATCGCAATAAAAATATGTTAATAAGTTACCAAAAGATAGAGCAATATTTCGATACATTCTAATCGGAGTATGTTAATTAGTTACCAAAAAATAGACCAAAAACTATTTTTATTCAATATATGAATTAGAAACTCGACCCGACACGACTCAAAATAATAAAAAAATTATTTTTATTCAATAAAAACATTGACTTAATTGAAAAAAAATTATATATAGAGGGGTATTATTGTAATTATTCCTAAATATATAAGGTAAAATTATATATTTTTTCGGGTCGGTCCAATTTTTTCACCCTAAACCCAAACCTGACCCTAATATCACACTTAAAAAAACCCGACCCGACTCGACCCAAATATCACACTTAAAAAACCCGACCCGAACAAAATAAAGTTTCATTCGACCCGACCCGAATATATAAATTAGAAATCCGACCCGACCCGACCCGAAATAATAAAAAATTATTTTTATTTAATAAAAACAGTGACTTAATCCGACCTGACCCAAATTATATATATTTTCGGGCCGGTCCAGTTTTTTTCACCCTAAACCCTAACCCGACCCGACCCAAATATCACACTTAAAAAAACCCGACCCGACCCGACCCGAATATCACACTTAAAAAAACCTGACCGACTCGACTCGAACATCACACTTAAAAAACCCGACCCGAACAAAATAAAGTTTCATCCGACCCGACCCGAATATATGAATTAGAAATCCAACCCGACCCGACCCGAAATAATAAAAAAAATTATTTAATAAAAACAGTGACTTAATCCGACCCGGCCTGAATTATATATATTTTCGGGTCGGTCCAATTTTTTTCACCCTAAATCCGAACCCGAACCGACCAAAATAAAGTTTCACCCGACCCGGCCCGACTATATGAATTAGAAACTCGACCCAACCCGAAATAATAAAAAATATTTTTATTCAATATATGAATAAATTACCAAAAGATTGATGAAGATAGTATGGTCAAATTTCAATTCCCTCCAACAAGGGAATTGAATTTCATCTATTTTTGGATGTTATTTCATTTTCCCTCATTTGATGGAATTGAATTCCATCATTCTATCATGGATTCCAATTCCCTTGAAAAACTTGAACCAAATATAAAAAAAATGATGAAATTAGATTTCAATTCCAAAAAAATTTCATCCAACCAAATGTCATCTAAGTGTTCGTCACTGTTGTCGAGCTACAATGCAATTGCTACACGTTAATCAAGTCTGGCTTATCACCCTATGCATTTAGCCTTTGGTCACCTTCGTCATAATTGGGGGGGGGGGAGAGGTAGCTACACTGTTAAGTCTTGTCTCGAGCAGTCGATAGTGTTCGAAACATATCATATCCGCATATTCGTATTCGAATATATATCGATACTAAAAGTTAGAATATGTTGATATTTAGCCAACAAAACAGTGTAAAAACAAAAGAAGCTTTCTGTTATTCCCTACTGGTTATGTCCTCTTTATCTACATAGTTTTCAAGCAAGAGTGAGTTCTAGAGAAACATCATTGAGACCTAAGGTCTCAGCTTTGCCATGCCTTAACATCGTCTCGGAAACTCTCGAGTTAATTGATCGGCAAATCGAACAATCGGACACTGTTCTCTCCGTCGCTGCCTGATGATTGCACTTCCAATTTGCACCACCATGTAGCCGCTCCGCGTTCGGCTGTTCATTATTCTCCTGTCGAATCGAAAACGGACTAATTTCTCGGTGTACAATCAACAAAAAATGACAGAAACAAAGAGAGATGATTACTTGGATCGTGCAACTTTTGAGTAAATCCTTGAAGATTATATATGAATTTGATGTTTGCTCAGATTCTCTGTATGATAACTGGTTACTCCCTTTGTTTCCATACCTGCAGACATGGAGGAAGGTCTCAATATAAACAAAATCTCGGTACATTTTCCTTCTAAATATTCGATACACCGACTGTGTATAATTCTACCATTGTAGCGGCCGAAATACGGTTCTCGAAGGCATCCCTTCGATTCCAAGGCCGACACTTTGGAATGAATTGCGATTAAAGGGTCCTCCATGATCCTTAAACTGATGATTTTGTTGGCAGTTCATGTTCATCGGATCCGATACCTCCCCGTTTCTCCTTGCTGCAACAGCCGCTTCTGCAATATTACACAACCAAACATACATATATAAGACATATACATGAAAATTGTATGTATATATCATTTTATATATGTCATGCACGAATCTCGTATGTATATACCTTGCATCATCTGTTCATGCTTGGTGCTCCTATACATCTGTTCATATATATCAAACCAAACAAAGACTCTCAAAATACATACCAGAATTCAAAAACAAACAAAACCCAGAATTCTTTCAACATATATATATGTATATGTATATATATACAAACCTGAAGATGGCTCTTAACGTGCGAGATTGTTAGTCCTTTCACATCCATTATCTGTAACACCATCTTTGGGGTTGCTCCTAGGTAAATATGCATTAATAATTTGAGGAAAAAAGGGGTTAAAGAAGGTATAGTTATAATTTGAGGAAGAAAGCTTGCTTACTGTCTTCTCCACCCAAGCGTTCAACTGCATGCACGAAGCACTGGTGAAGATCAGACGTCCATCTCAAACGAGGCATTTTCGATCTAACGTAAGGCCTCACGAGCAGCGGTTTCAGGCTAATTTCCGACAGATTATCGTCCTTATTGTGTCGCCTCGTGACTCTCACGGTTGCCGCCGATGGTAACTGCGAATAAACACAGCCGGTGTCCTCGAGGGAAGAAGATGAAGATGAATTAGAACCCCCTTTGAGCAGCCAACTATCAACATCAGCAGTTTTCTTCATTTTTGTTGCCTAAAGATGATCAGACAATGAAAATGAAAGAGGAGGAGAAGAAGAAAGAGGAAGGGGTGTTTAGTGAAAGTTGAAACAGAAAGAGAATAAATACATGGGAAGACTTGTGTTGCATGGATTTTGTCTTGTTCTGCAGCTTTTCTTACAGTCTTTTAAGGGCCAGTTTTAGTCTATTGGAGGTTCGATTAGAAAAAGGAAAATTTGGACACGGAATTTCAAAACTCAGTTTCTTCATTAAAAAAAGGGGGAATAACTTGATTAATTGGGTGGGAAAAAAAAACCAGAATAAAAATCACAAATTTAATAATAATAAAAAAAGAAAAGTTGGCTTAATTTAACGTAACGTCTTCAAACTATGGTTCAATTCTAAATATTAGCTCTCAAACTTCAAAACGTTTCAATTGAGTCATAAGAGTATTAGTCCCATATCAACATGTGTATATATAGCTAAATCCAAACTCTCCATGTGATAGATATACTCATACTTATAATTTGATCAGTATATTTTAAATGTGTCATACATCATATCTCAACTGATATTCAAAGACGTACATAGGATAGAACATTAAAACTTCCAAATTATTGAACTCCGAATTTGATAGAAATATAAGTATTTAAACCAAACAAAATTTGGATTATGACTTAATTTATTTAATTTAAAATTTGCAATAAGTTAATAGGTATTTAAATAAAAAAGGAATCAAGACTTAACTTGACTAATTTTTAAATTGAAAAAAGCCTAGAAAAAATTAAATTAGAAAATTTGAGGACCAGACTTAAGTTATCTAAGTCCAAAACTATTGGGTATTAAAAGGTAATTGCACCCGAAAATTTGGGTAGGGGACAAGTAAGGATGGCAACATGTTGAGTTGGGGGTTGGGTAATCTAACCCGATAAGTATACTCCTCAATTCGAATTCGAACTGACTCGAGTTTAGTAAGATCTCATCCTAATGTCGAAATTCGATCCAATCTGATACAAATATATATATTTATTTTTTTGAATAGTCTATATGATTACAAGGTAGTCTATGTTTATAACTTTCTTAACCAATTGACAATGCACACACAACCTGCAGACATAGTTATTAGAACTCAAGACTTCTGGGGAGAACAACATTCTTTTTTATCATTGAGGCTATTTGATGAGTTCATACTTTTTTTTATTAAATATAGAGAGAGGTATCGTGGAAATTATCCTTAAATATATAGAAGAAAATTGTACTTTAATCCCGGGTCAGGTTAGAGATTTTTCACTCTAAACTCGAATGAACTTGACCTCAACCTTTAAAAAAGTTGGCTCTATCCAAACTCAAATTTTTAGAATAAAAAAATCCAACCCTATTAAATTAGATCTAATCAAAACTCAATGAATTCGAGTAGGATTGTCTTCCCAAGAGATAATCCCCCCTCCCACTTCCTTAATAGTTCCATCTCTGCAGGCATTTAATACCCAAACTAATGACTAAATTGATGGTTGGACTTGATTGATACAAATTAATAAATTGAAAACTCAATTAGAACATTATAAAATTTTAAGAGTTATTTAAAATCTGAATCACAATTTAGGACGTCCTATGCAATTAACCAAAAAAAACCCCTTTTCATCCCAAATTTCTTCATGATATGCTTGGTTTCAAGTTCAAAGTTATTCTTTGGTGGCCATATATATATATATATATATCCTGACATCCATTGTTCTTTCAATTTTCTGTTGAAGAACATAAATGCAAGTGTTGAATTCATTTATCGTCCAGATTCTTAGAATTAATCTCAAGCCCCAACTATTTTTATTGAATTTATTGTAGGAGATTCTGCAATAATTTTTACAGTTAAGAAATGGAAAAAAAATAGGAAAAAGCTAAACGTTATATAAACACAAACAGCTATTCACTAGAAAACAAAGAAAAAGACAGAAACGTTAACAATGGCCCAAAGTGAAACATGGAGCCATTGACATGTAAAATGACCTAAGCATTTTGCTGATTTGCACTTCTTACTACAAACGTGTTCAGTCCTTCCTTCCTCATTCCTCAAAACAGGAGACTTCCCTTTATTCCGGCCATCTCTACTTTAACTTACATAATATATATATATACTCGGCATTTTATCCATCAACATTTCATTTTAGGTTAAAAATGCTTCTAACGTTATTAAATAGTCACTTTAGCACTTATTCTTTTTTTAGAGCGTTTTGGCCAAACGTTTTATTTTAGGAGGAAAAAACTCATATTTTGAAGTGTTGACAGTTTGTTGACTAATAATTTCTATCCACGAAAGGTTTTTTGTCTTAAGACAAAACGAAGAAGACCAAAATGATCTTAAAAAATAGGAATCAAAGTGATTATTTAATCAAACATTATAGACAATTTTTTTTATTATGTCTGTTTTAGTTTTTTTCTTGGAGCACTAAAGCATGGACAGTTTCATTCTATGCAAGAAGAAGCCAATGTTCACACTAACCGATCGAGTGTGGGGTTGGGTATACGCAAGCATTGTTTTATATTCCCAGCTGGCTTCTGGTGCTCATGCAGTGGCCACGTCGAATGTCCAAAACGTCACACTGCGATGACCATTTTTCTTTGCTATGGGGAATTGCCCAACAATGGGTGAAACCAACTTTTTGTCTGTCGGTTTGTAATGAAATTGCTGACAAAGGGGGGTTTGAATTTGAAAGGATGGCAACTCAAAGTAGACGGTTTCAAATTGTAGGGGGAGGGGGGAATATTCCTTGTTCATGGAATTTGCCAGATTTTTGGACAAGTGAGTGTCTTGATGTCATAAGGGTTTAAAAGTAAACTTGTCTGAATTAAGGACAATCTGAATTAAGGACATAAATTTTATTTGATTCAGTCTGAAAAGCTTGTGATGTGACTCGTTTGATGAAACTATAACTTGAGAGAAAAATAGGGTATATTGGTGAAGATATTTCATTTTTTTTTACGTTTGCCCCCAAAAGGTCATCTATATGAATGCAATGCTAAATGATCATACATTCTTTCACCAACTGATCACAACAGGAATGAATAACAAAAATTGAGCATTCTCTGTTATGAACATCAGGCAAATTTTTAAACCGCATATGGCTTAACAGTGTGTTTAATCTAGGAAGAAGAGATGTGATGCAAATACACTGACGTCGAATTCGAATAAAACAACCCCCAATTCGCCGCCGACTCCGGGGGCGACTTCAAGTTCTCGTTAAACAACTGGTATGCAAACACACTGGAAGTGCTTAGGATGCAGAGCGGTTCCACTGTGATCTAAAATATGCTTGATAAGATTCGAATTATAGGTATCTGCATTGTCTATAGTAGTAGCATGAAGTTCTTTTGAATCCCATTTCGAAGGCCAACCGCTCTCGGTAACAAGCACCACAGCATCAAGCACATAATATGGACAAAGAAGCCGAAGATGGTACCGTATTTAGAACCTCATCTCCGACGCTGATACGAGCGATGAGTGTTTCGGGGTAGTAAGGGACCACTACCAGCCAATGTAATCCTCATCTAGTAAAAGATTGAGATTACATCATCGACATCACCAAAAAAAAGTAAAAGATTGTATCTAGACTTCCTTGATTGCAAACTTCTTAACAGGCCAAATCTATGTCCTTTGAAACACTCTGAGCGCGGTTTGGATCAGAACCTCTCAAGATTTGCAGCCAGTTTACAGATCTCTTCATCAAAATTTACAGCCAGCACAGTTTCAAGCAAAATCTTCCATAGCCAAGCAACGAGAACAAGACTATCAAAAGCCAACCGGACCACAACTCTCACACCACATTGATGCCTTGAAACGAAGCAAAAGTCATAACACTAACATCAAACTCAAAATCACTTCAATGAACTTGATACTTGTACAATGGTAAATACACCGCTCCATCTCTATGTGTCAATCGCCACTGCGATCACCCACCAACAAAATATCGCTACAACGAAAGACCTGACCAACCAGCTTAGAACTATCAATCATTAGGAAAATTAGAAAAAAATCTCGCACAGACAATGGCTACCTTCAATTGCAATGTTAAATCACTTTATTTGTCAAGCATAAAACCACGCCAAGCGACTCAACGCCTACCAGACCTAACAATGCCATCGACATACTATGTCGACATACACGACAACTCAACAAAAACTAACATTACCAAAACCACAGGGACATCCTCAACTTCAAAGCAAGCTTTGCTTGACTCTGAGCCTAAGTAATCAAATACCACATTGCTATCGCTGTCAATTAAGCCCTCAATTCACATCAACCTAACAATATTCCTTCAAAACCATCAAACCAACATATGCTAGTTCAAGAACACGCCATAATCATATCAATGACAGGAACGCATACACAAACGAAGCTGCCTTTGCCAAAAGCATCCTCCAATGTGAAGAACTATGAAGAAGAAAAAGAAAACAATGGTGATGACTGATGAAAAAAGCAGTGAGCTTAGAGTTCACCATTAAAGAGCCTAACATTATATATATATTTCACCTTATGTAACATATCAATGACAGGAACGACTACACAATCGTGAAGGTTGATGATTTCAATTTCATGGTAGAAGGTTTATACTCAGTTTTTTTGTGTGTGGATAAATCAGCAATTTATTACCCAAAATAGCAATGTTATGCTACAACCAATCATAAAAAAAACAAGGCAGCCTAATTACAAAAAGAACCAAAGATTGGTTAGACTATACCCCAAGCATTACAGAGATAAAAATTAGTACTATCAAGTCTATCTATAGCTTTACCCCTTAGTCTAATACTAACAGTTTCGACAATATCTTTAAGCAAAGTATCGATCGATCTAAATCGACCCTGGAAAATACATTGATTTCTTTCCTGCCAGATGGAGTAAATGAAAGCGTTCCAATAAATCTTCAGCAAAGTGGTGATAAGAGACTTCCCTTTCCAGGAAATGCTTGCCCGAGAGACCATTGTTTCCCAAGTGAGTGAAGAATAAGTCATACCATTAAGCTTCAAAATAGCTTTCCAAAGTCCAACAGCAAAAGAACATTGAGAGAAAAGATGATCCCGCGATTCTTGAAATTGGTAGCAGTTAACGCATATCGAATCAGAACATAACCCATTCTC